CCCACAACTTTAGCCATAAATTCACAATGTCCATTTTGGGTTTGCCATCTAGCTGAATTTAAAGGCAGCTTTTAAAAATGGACAAATGAAGGAACATCCAATTCAAATGTCTAAGTGATTAAAATCTAAGAGCCTGTCTTCAGACTTTTGTTTGTAGAAAATACTGCTACTAAACACATTCATGTCTAACAGCTGTTTCCATAAACAGGGGGCATACTTAAAGATCAGTAATAAAAATAGGATAGCTCTAATCACAATCTGAATTCTGTCAATAGAAATAGAATGAAATAGAAAAATAATAAAAGTTTTTCTTGAACTATTCCATAATGTAACAGGGAGAAATTTGATTTGCCTGTTTTGAAAATGACTTTGTTCGCATAGAAAAGTCAAAGTTAGCAGATAAATTGAATCTGTCACCTGGCCAATTTTGTAAGAAAGAAGTGGGAATTTATGTAGTAAACTGGAAAATACTTCACACTGACTAGCCCCTTACATAATAATTTTTGAGAAATCTGTGCACAGATAGTAGTCCATTATCAATCAGTAAATTAACTTTCTGCTACTAATTTGATGCATGTCTTTCCATATAAAAGACCACATCCTTCAATTCGTTGCTAATTAGAATCAATTAGAACCTGTCCATCTTACATTAAAAATTGCCAAAATAGATTGGAAATCTTTATTTTACCTGCTAAACTTACACTGAAAAATAAAGCATTTTCCGAGAGGGGAAAAATAATCTACCCTTCCTCTGGATTACTGTTTACGAGAATAGTCCGAAGGGGGTGGTGGTGTTTCCAACCCTGCTGATGGAAATCTCAGCCAAAACCTCTGAGGCAAGAGCTAAGCCCCGCGTTTTCTGAACCGGACTTTCTTCCACCCGCCTGGATCTCCACCTTCCACGGGCCTTCCATAGTCCCACAGACCCGTCCAACTCGCCCCCCTGAACGCCCTCGAAAGGCAGTGAAGTTTCGGCTAGGATCATTGTTTTACAGTTGTTTTTTTATTAAACCTTAAGGCTAATCTGCCTACCGGGGCCGAGATTTGCAGTCTCCCCCCCGGCCTTGAGCGTCTCCTTCCCAGCGGTAGCTACAGGGAAGGAGCATGAGAAAGAATCTGGGGATGGGGAGGGAGATCCCTCTCGTACAAACGGTACAAGGAATACCAAGACTGCGGTTCTTAAGTCCCAGGCGTATCTGGGGTCGAAGGAGGAAGACGGGATGAGCATCCTCACGCCATTCCCCTCAGTAACGCTTCCGATCTGCTCTGGGCGCCTCTAACCTTCTTCCATCCACCCCGCAGCGCTCCTGGGGCAACCTCTGCCCGTGTCCCTGTCGCCCCCCCCTCCACAAGCGCGCTTACCGAGCTGCTTTTCCCGGGCGATCGGCCTGCTTTCCAGGCGCCGAGGACAAGGTGGACAGCCGCCGCCGGCTTCCACGGAGGGAGAATCAGGAGATGCGGGAACGAAGCCGGATGAGAATCGGAGCGGCCGCTCCGGAGCGTCTCCTCTCCCCGCTTTGTTCCGCGCAGGCGGCAGGGCTGCTCGTAAGGCTGCCCTTCGGAGTGCCGATCTCGTCCGCGGCTCTCTTTCCTCAGCCTCCCCTTCTTCTGACCGGCCCTCACATCCCCGACTTAAGCCGATCCATCTCCGGCAGCCACAACAAGGCGACTGCTCCTCCTGCGACCAGCGGCGGCGCCCATTTATCAGGCCTCCGACCCGGAACCTTATCTGCCGCCGGAGCCGCACGGGAACCGGATCTAATGCCGGCTAAATGGGTGGGAGTAGGGCGGAGCCCCGCAGGAGAGAAGCGAAACCCGGGCTTGGAGGATGCGTCTTTTTCTGGAAAGTCTCCAGGCTCAGTGGTAAGGAAAACCGAGAGTTTCCAAAGCTAGAGCGCTCCAGGGCTTTATCTCGCTCTCTGTCCCTTTGGTCCCGCTGCAGATGTTCGTTCAGGTAGCCAATCGGCGAGCCTTCGCAGCTGCCTCCCGAAATCGGTGGTCCTCTTACTAAGGACCACTTGGACTGTCTTTGCGTTGGGGTTGAGTGGATCTTTCCGACTGAGACCAGTATGGGTTGTTGTTTGAAATCACTGCGTGCAGGAAAAGAAATAATAAAAAAAATCTGTGTTCGTATTAATATAGCCTGTTCAGCACTGACAATGCTACCCTGTTTGGGTAATGAAACGTCTGCAAGAAAACAAGCAAGCTCAGAGAGCACTAAGGACCCCGCAATTACTGATTTCTATTAAGAAGTTATTGAGCGCCAGTTTGGTGTAGTGGTTAGGGCACCGTGCTAGAAAGCGGGAGATCTGTGAAATCTAGTCCCGCTTTAGGTACAAAGCCAGCTGGGTGACAGAAGTCCCTTCACTTTCTCTCAGCCCTAGGAAGGAGGTGATGGCAAACTGAACAGAACTGAACAGAAACCCCTGTCAAGAAAACTGCAGGGACTCAGAGAATGATTGTATTCTGTATCTATAGGGACTCCTCTTCTCTTGTTTAATACTGCTTATGACCATTTACTTGCAGTCTGTAATCATCCATTCTAAGAAAAGTTGCAGCACTATAATTTTGAGAGCAGCCTCTTTAGTGGAGGAGGCCATGAGTTCTAGATCCACCTTAGGCATGAAGCTAGTCACTCTCTCAGCCCTAGGATCAAGAATCACTGGTGAAATTTTGCCAATAAAAACCCTGCAGGGACAACTGCAATTGCCAGGAGTCAAAAACTGAATAAAAAATCTTGATACTACAGGTAGTCCTCGACTTACGACCATAACTGAGCCCAATTTTTGTTGTTAAGTGAGACATTTGTTAAATGAATTTTGCCCCATTTTACGACCTTTCTTGCCACAGTTGTTAAGTGAATCATTGCAGCTGATAAGTTAGTAACCTGGTTAAGTGAATCTGGTTTCCTCATTGACTTTCCTTGTCAAAAGGTTGCAAAGGTCATCACATGACCTTGAGACACAGCAATGGTGATAAGTATGAACCATCTGCCAAGCATCTGCATTTTGATCACATGGTCATGGGGATGCTATAAAGGTCATAACTGTGAAAAATGGACATGTCACTTTTTTCACTGCCGTTGTAACTTTGAAAGGTCACCAAATGAACTGTTGTAAGTTGAGGACTACAATGATTGTTCTACCACCCAGAATGGAAATTTTGCTTTGATGCAGGGTTTTTGTCCACCACAATTACATTTAGGGGGGGACTTTTATCATCAGTTTCTAATGAGCTTATAAACTGGCCTTCTATTTTTGTGTTCTCTATATAGATATCTTAATGCTGTTTTAATGTAGACTTAACTCTTAATTCTCTCTAGTTGACTGATATAAAACTGCAAAAGAACTATTGCCCAGCAATGGAACAAAATAATATAGACCATATAAACCAACTTGTGGTTGATCTAAATGCCAAAATGTGCTACATATTAATATGGTGGCACTCTTAAAAAACTGAATAAAGTCAATCTCAACCCTGTGTCATTTTCAAATCAGGCATATGACACATTGCTAACAACCTTTTGATAGTTATATAAGGCAAGAGTCCCATTTGACAATATAGGGAAAAATATCATAAATGGCAATTTCTGCCATTTTTTAAATAATTAAAGTATCTTTTCTGGAGTTGAGAAACATCAAAGGGAGTCTGCAAGAAGAAACTGACAAATCAAAAGTTTCAACTATATCATGGCTTCAAAAGTGGGTAATTATACCTTTTAATCAAACTATGGATGAGTGTATCCAGTTAGCTAAGCCTAAGCCAAATAACTTACATCCTGGCTTTCATTATGCTTTTTTATGGGGACAAAGATCATAATTTGAAACAGATAGACTTGTAAGGGTTGTAAGGCCTTCTAAGATTTAAAAGCAGTCAAACCTATTTTTGATCTTAAACAATAGTTTTCATGTTCTTTATCTTAAACAGTGGAAAAATATGCCACCAATTTTTTTCAGTAACAGGTAGGAGGGACTGACTCCAAAAAGGGAGCTTGGAACACCTGTGTATTGTATAAATCTAATCAGATATTTAAGTATAAATTGTAGTTAAGCAAACTTAGGGTTCATTTGCATGAACCTAGATTTACCAATGTAAAAAATTATGTTATAAATTAACAGTTGCTTTGTGAGTAATTATATATGAGTGGTATTCTGCATCATAGTTTATAACCACCACTCCACTGAAAATCTATTCTGTATTTACATTTGTAAGCTGGTTAAAATGTCATGCCTTTAATAAAATAATCTATAAAATCATGCTATAATAAATAATAAAATTATACAAGATTTTGTTAGAATAGTCCAAATAAGATTGAACTGTCAAACACTGTACTTTGGTACAGTATATATATTTCATTTATAATCTTTTTAAAAGATAACTACTTTGACTTTTGAGTTATCAGAATGTTATAAATAACGTAATTTCAGACTTGTATACAATATCTATAAATAGACATGGGACTGATTATTTTTGCCCACATGTAGTTATTTTCATATCGGAAACTTGTAGCTTGATATTGGAAGCATCACATGAAAATCAGCTTTGCTAATCATAATGAAATTGTGTTTGCTTTAATGAGATCTTCAAGCAGAAAGGCTGACTGAGAAATGCAGCACATGGAGAATTTCATATATCCGCCTTTTGAAATAAAGTACTTATATGGAAGAGTGCAGTCTTTGTATCTTTATAGGAAGGGAGTAATTCAGTCTCTTCCCCTCCAGTGTCTAGCAATATCAAAAATGAAAGCATTAGAATCTTTCCAATCTGTAGTTAGCTCACAAACATCTGTTGCAAACTGCAAGCTTTATCTTAAAAAGGATACCAACCTAGCTTTAGAAACCACAGATAGACAGTTTCCTTTTGCATATGATTTGCAAGCATATGATTTCATGTAATATTCATGTAGACTAAGAAGGACAGAGCAATTGAAACACTGCTGGTTTTGGAACCTTGTTTTCTGAATTTAATTATTATTTTCAGTTGATTTTTTTCCAGTAAGAAAAGTTAACAACAAATGATGGGAAATCCAGAAACTATAACAGAAGCCTATGTGGCTGTCATTCGTCCCAAAAATACTGCAAGCCTCAATTCTCGTGAATATCGTGCTAAATCCTATGAGGTAAAATAAGGGGGCCGGAGTTGACTTTAATGAAAAGAACATTTATAATTACCAGTAATTACATTTAGTTATCAATATATCAGTGGTGGGATTCAAATATGTGAACAATTGGTTCTCTGTGTGGATGCTGCTTCCGGAAGTTTATTCTGGGCCTAGGCAACAAAAAATTAGCTACTGGTTCTGCCAAAATGGTGCGAACCGGCTGAATCCCACCACTGCAATATATCCATAATGTTTCTTAATGCAAATAAAAATTCAGAAATATTTTCAGGTGTTAGAATGATTTTCTTTTCAGCAATATCATTTCCATTATAAACATTTTTGCCTGCGTTCATAAATTGGGGATGATTATATAATTATATAAATGGCTAATTTCTCAATTGTAATTATTCAATCATAATGGTAGGTGATACCACAGATGTGACTTATGTAGATGACATTGAATCTAAAGTATATAATTGCTCCTTATTAAAGGTAATAAAACAGATATGAGGTAAATGCTTTGAAATTAGCATTGTGGTTTTGCTTTGTTTTAGATTTTGTTTCAATATTAGGTATTGCATTTATTTGTTTATTTTTATTTTGGGGAATATTTATAATATCTGTGGTGGCACAGTGGCTAGAATGCAGTGTTGCAGGCTAACTCTGCCCGCAGCCTGGAGTTCGATCCTAGGGCTCAAGGTTGACTTAGCTTTCCATCTTTCCAAGATTCGTAAAATGAGGACCTAGATCATGGGTGTCAAACTCACGACGTCATGTGACGTGTCACAACATATCGTGACTTTTTCCCCATTGCCAGCAATGGGGTAGGCACGGTTTTGGCGTGACGCATTCAGCCCATGGGCCGGCAGTTTGACACCCCTGGCCTAGATTGCTGGGACAATATGCTGACATTTGTAAACTTCTCAGAGAATGCTGTAAAGCACTATGGAGCGGTATATAAGTCTAAGTGCTATTGCTGTTGCTCTCTCTTTTTGCTTTATGATACAGTTCATCAATAAATTTAAAACCATTTAATTGTGATAATAAACTAATTTCAACCATACGCTTTTAAAATATTGGATTTGAAGCAAATCCATGCTTAATGATCAGAACTGGCTGAAACAAATAATAGTGACAAAAGTTCTATTGAAATGTATTTTGACAAATTAAAAAAAGAAAATGTTATATTTTTTTAAAAAAAGATTCATAGAAAAAAGTAATCTATAGTTGATTTAGGAAAAAACAAGTCTTGCTTGTAAACATGATGCAATACTTTTGGAATATGTCCAGAAATTTCTTGACATAGTATTTAGTTACTTCTTTCATGAAGTGTATATATTTTTGCTGATAATTTTTCCTGACATTACTTTTATTGCATTTACTTTACATGCAGTAAAATATGTCTTATTCTACCATTGCTAGTTTGAACTTCTATGAGTTATAATTTCCACAGGAGAATTTTGGATTGGGAAAGATTAATCTATATCATCCCAAACGTTAGGTATAAGTGTTAGTTTTTTAAATAAATATGGATTTTTGTGTTTCACTAATATTTAATTTTATCATTGCAAGATTTTGTTACTTGAGGTTCCCATTGAAGGACATAAGAAAAAGAGAAGGAAAATGTTATTAGAAACTAAGATTCAGGAAGACAGTGATATAACCCAAAGCATCCTGGACTATATACTAGAAACCACCAAACCAATTTCACCAGGAAACCAAGGGATTAAAGGTAATGATGGCTTTAATATTTGTGTTCTGTGTTTTCCTATAACCAACCATAAAAGAAGAACATTTCCAAATTCTAATCCCATCAGTTAATAATCCTGCCTCATGCTTGGTAGCATTCAATCCAACTAAAATATTGTTCTAATTCTCTGAATGGTTGCTAGAAAAGATGCATTTTGATTTCTTTTTGCAGTATAGGATGATTTTATCTATCTAAAAGAAAAATGAAAAGTCTCCTGCTTTTAAATACCCTTTCTCTTGTCTTTTCTAATCTAATTTCAGATGCTTTGAGTAAATGTTGACATATGGCCAGAAAGTACAGAAAAGAAGCTTTTATAATATTTAAACAGCTTAAGTCCCAGTTAAAACCAATACTTTCTAATGTGTCTGGAAATTATAAATAGCTAATATGCTCTTTGTATCTTATTCCTACATTCATATAGATGGATGTATTTTTAAAATTAATTAGAGTTTTCAAATAGTATTAAAGGCAGTCCTTTGTAAGGTGTTTTATAGCAGTTTTTCCTAAAGATCACCAACTATGTACAGTAAATCAAGTGGCAGGACGATGTCATACTTGATTATTTAAAATCATCAATGATCTGATAACATTCACAAACATTTTTATATCCACTGTTACTTCCAAATCCTCAGATTTTTCAAGAATATTTCTTGAATTCTAAATTCCCAGGCCATCAATCTAGTTTTCAGTATATATTATATGTGGTAGAAAAATACTGCTTCAGCTATTTAATTGACAAAAAATTCTTATTTATATGAAGGAAAAAGAGTTCTGCTAATGAAGACATTTCCTCTTGGTGAAGACACAGGCAAGGATGCATCTCTTTTCGTTGTACCCACAGTTGTCAAAGGTAAGATAAAAAGTGCATTTTAAAAGTACAGTTGTTAATCAAAAGTTAGAAAATACTCTGTATATATGTATTGCTTCTGTTGGAGAATTTTTTAGAATTCCCTCTATATTAGTTTTGATGTGGCTTGTGTTTTTTATTTGTTGATTTTTTGCGTGGCTGGTTGTTTATGTTTATGTGATACAGATGAATAATTCACCCATGCTGCTTATTTAACTAATCCCATTACTTTGTTTTGCCTAAATGTGCATTATCATTCATTGGATATTCATCTTCCCTAAAATGATTTGTTTGTCGTTATCTTTAAACTAGGAACTTTGGCTGTTTCTTTATTAACATCTTAGAGCCATAAGCCACATTTTTTCTTTAGCTTATACAGTTTTGTTTAGACATTCACACTGACAGAAAAGAAGCAGGAGCAACCAAGAATCCATATTTGGTTAAAGTGATACTTGAAGGACTACAATGGCAAATTATGAGGCCTTTATAAGCAATTTTTCCCCCCAGAAATGAATTACTGCAGTTGGATGATACGGCAGTAAAAGTATTTCTGTACAGTCTCTAAGGAGAATATGTTGAAAAATATACCTACGGGAATAAAAGTATAAAAGTAAAATGTAAAAAGACAGCTAAAATAAATTGCTTTACATTTTTAAAAATTCTTTTCTTTATAGATAATACAAAATATGTTTACAGTCCTGGATGCCCAGTTTTCTACTGTTTACAAGACATCATGAGAGTCTGCAGTGAATCAAGTTCTCATTTTGCTACAATTACAGCTAGAATGTTACTTTTCTTAGATAAGTAAGAAAAGTTTTGCAAAAGTACTTGATTTTAAAATTCTCTCTCTCTCCCTCCCTCTCTCCCTTCCCCCCCCTCTCTCTCTCAGTAATTAACTTTTCTGAGATACATAGTGCCTGATGCATGGAATGGAGAAATGCATTTTGTATCAAATATGAAATAAAAACTATGGGACTGAAATTCAGCTGAACTTTTCTGATCCAGTTATAATGCAGATGAATGAAACTCAGAACACTTTAATAATTATAAGTTTCAGCTACCCCCCCAGACCCCCCAACTCTGTGGAGAGGTCTGAAAGGGCAAATGTGGTGAGGCATCAGTGTTTTTCATACCTTCTTCATGGATCAGCCTGCCTGTCCTCCTTACCCCTAGCTGATGGAGCTGTATGCTGCCACCTTTGAAGTCCAGTGCAACATATCCAACAGGCTCAGCTGTCAAATTTGGGAAAGTAAAAGGAAAGGAAGCTTGGATAGATATGATGTAATATTGTTGAGTAAAAGGGCAGCAGCCAAATGGTGATGTTATTGTGTCTGAATTCAAGTGTGACATATCCAGCCCACCTATCCATTCCTTACATCTTGCTGCTACCTTTCTTTCCCCTACTTCTCCATAACTGCCGCCATAATATTTATTTATTTATTTATTTTATTCAATTTTTATCCCGCCCTTCTCCTTACCGGACTCAGGGCGGCTGACAGCCTTATAAAACAGATACTACAATAAATACCTAATTTAAAACCAAATTAAAAAGAAATATTTACTATGGCCTATATAATTAAAATTTCTCTTAAAACCCCACTAAAAATTCCCTAGGCCAATCCCGC